GAGATATCTGTAATTTCCGAAACCTCAAGGGTATCTGTAATTTTGCTAAACTTCGAGAGAGGTATATATAATTTGCCCTTTATTTTTTTGATGACACAAGTATCCGGATTAATTTGTGCAACCTCACTTCAATTTATACATATCTCAATTAATTTTTAGGAATCAATTCTATCGTCCACCAGCGGGACCTAATTGAAGTCACCTTATGGTATATATATTTTTGAACTTTTTGGCAAATTTCTCAGTTTCTTGTTTTTATTTTTTATTTTACTTTTATAAAATAGAAATAAACTTATGTGGTACGTGTAATATTTTTAAAAAAAATAATAAAAAATACTTGACAAATTGCAGGACAGGTCTGATTCGTTGAAGCCGAGTTTGATGAAGGTCTTGTAATACATAACCTCCAAAGTACACCACTGGTCTATGAGAACGCGCTCAACGATAAATCGGTTTACGCGTAGTTCAATGACCAGTGGATCAATGTGGGGGACTGTTATGTCAATAAGATCAGAATCGTCGAAGGTAATACTCGGAGCTTCACGTGGCCTTTTATCTGGCGTTAGTTGCTTTTGGGGTACTGGATGTGACTGAATTGCATGCACGGTTGGAGGCGTTGGCAAGCTGTATATCATATGAATGACGCCGGGCGGGGGCGAATCCTGCCGCAGTGTAACTGTTTTGGTTGCGCTCTTTCGGACATGTTGCTGGAGCCGACCATCTTGCACCAACTCCTCAAGGTGGTCTTTCAAAGCATAGCAACTGTCGGTGTCATGACCGTGATCTTTTTGATATTCACACCGCCTATCACGTTTTCTCGTATTGGGAGGTCCCACTACTTTGGACGGACATTTGAAGGATGGAAGGTGTTGAACTTTAGACATGACTGAGCTGATTGGTTCGCCCCTCTTTCTGGGCTCCTGGGATAATGAGTCGGAGTCGCTATCAGCGTCTTGTTTGCCGAGCTCGAGGTCGTCCACCACCTGCTTTCAGAGGTCGTTCCGGATCTTGGCGCACGACTTGTTTGGACTTTGCCACTTCCAAGGCCAAATCCTGACGGAGACGCTCGTTCTTAGCGATTATGTTCTCCAATCTTTTTTCGTTTTGCTTTGCCTGTTACATGATCGCTTGCATTGCCTCATGCTCTGGAGTCGAAGGTGAGGCGAAGTGCAAAGCGCGTCTTGTAGGGATAATCTCCGGTCCATGTATGTTTGTTGGAGTGAAATCGTCTATCTACGTGGTTTCAACAGTGACTATTGGAGGGTCCTCCGTCACGCCCGCCATGGATATATTTGAGTATTCTCACAGACGGTGCCAATTGTGGAGAAGTGGTTTGGAAATACTCTTCTGATCTTGGGGGACACTCGTGATCCACTGATAGTCACTTGAAAAGAAATAAACACTCCGGTCGGGGGTGCCGGAATTAGCACTCCGACGGACAAGTCAGTCTTAGCACTCAAGATTACTTATGTTTTAAATTAAGCACAACAATTCTCACATACCTTTCTTAGTCTGTTGTTCTTTTATTTACACTCGTTTCCTGGGCCTCGGGGCCAGGTCCACTTTCACTCATTATCCTTTTATTTACTCGGCTCCATAGTTCGGTATCTACTTGGCTTATCTGTTTTATTCAGCTTCCTGATTATGCAGGAAAGAGCCGAGTAATATCTATCTTCTAGAGTATGCTTCTGATTCTTCCAATTATCCGACCCCCACATTTATATAGTAACTCTTTTATTTTTTAAAACTTTTTAATTTAATTTTTTTTTTCACTTAACGCATTTCAAAGTTCTTAAAAAAGTTTTATTAGTGAAAAAACTGATATGTTATTAAGTTTTTTTAATTCATGAAAAATGATTTGATGATTTTTTAAGTTCTTTAAAAATTACTAGATTTTTAGTCTGTTGACAAAACGTCTATTAAGCTTTTATTATAGTTTTATCACTTTAATTTTATTCATTTGTCTATTTTTGCTGTTGATGATACTACTAGTCCCTTATGGATGGGTCGAGCTGATTCACGCCTTCTACAGGATTTTTGTTTGCTTATGTATTTGGTTCTTCTCTTAACAAGTGTTTAGATGTCATTAGTTCTTGATGCAATGTTGAGCTCTAATAATGTTAAACTTTAGTGTTTAAATCATGTATTGGGCTCTCAGTAGTGAACAAAAACACCCAATGAGCCGACCTATGTTAGTTATAAATTTTGAATTATTAACCTTACTGCTCATGAGTCAATTCGGACATCATTAAAGTAAAGCAAAAAATCGAATTGATCTTGTTTGTCTTTTTTGAACCCAAATTTGTTACTAAGTGTAAAACAATCTAGCTCAACCCCGCTTAAGATTTGAGTTAATTTGGGTTAGTGCTGGTTTGGCATATCACATCTGAATTAAAATAGTCATAAAAAGATAAAATAAATTAAAAATTAATAAAATAAAATATCACATTTAAATTATAATTATTTTTTTTCTCACAAAAATAAAATAAAAAAATTAAAAAATATTCATCACAAACAAGATTTTTTACCTCCAAATTAAAATAATTAAAAAAATCAAAATATCAAGCCACATTCCAAACCAACCATAAGTCAGTGACTACATTGCAAAATAACAAACCATGATTATATATAAGGCTGTTCATTAAGACATATAATTAAATTATACTATTTATAAATATTTTTTTAAAAGTATAAAGCGATGGATTTTTATGATTGACTCAGGGGGTAGATTTGTAATTTATCTTTTTTTAAGGATAAATTATCAGTAGGTCTTAATAGTTAGATTTAATTCCTATCAAATCCTATTAAAAATAAGTCTTAATAAAATCGTCGCAAAAATAATTTTTTGTGATATTTTTTGCATGTCTTTAAAAATTGACAATTAGTGACTTTTTTTGTCACGATTTTTATAAATTATAGTTAAAACTTACACTTAGTGACATTTTTCTGTGACAGATTTTTCAAACTGTCATTAAAAGTTAAAAATTAGTGACTTTTTTTATTATATTTTTTTAAACCATCGCTAAAACTTATAATTAGTAAAAATTTTTGTTGCAAAATTTTCAAACTAAAATTAATAATTAGTGCCTTTTTTAACAGTTTTTTTATGAAACATGCCATTAATACTAACAGGATCTATTCAATAATAAATTTGCCCATTGAAATTTACATATAAGTCCTCCTTTCTTTTTATTAGCTAGTAATAAAGCGTTTAGAGCTTTTTTTTTAAGAAACTTTTTATTTTTTTAGAACTTTTTATTATTTTTTTTCAATTAACGTATTTGCAAAGTTCTTAAGAAAGTTATTTATAAGTGAAAAATTGATGTGATATTAATAGTTTGTTTGGCATCTCCTAAATAAATATATTTATATAAACATATTTATTTCGGTCACATTATCTTTTTATTTTTTTATGTTTTTTTTTATAAAAAATCAAAAAATATGTTTATTTAGATTATTTTAAATAACTTCTAAATTTTTTAATTCATGAAAAATGATTTGATGATTTTTTAGGTTTTTTAGAAAATATTGATTTTTTCAGTCGGTTGCCAAACGCCCATTAGTAGGGGTGAGCATGGTCCGGATTGGACCGAATTGGGAAAAAACTAGAACCAATCTGTTATCTACGGTTTTTGAAAAATTGGAATCAATCCAATCCGTTTAAATCATGGAACCAATCCGAACGAATCTATTTAAACACTGATTGGATTGGTTTAGGACCACGGATTTACATAATTAAATAACAAAAAAAAAATATATAATACTTTAATTTCATAAAAATATAAATATAACACCATATTAGTTTCACAATAGCAATATGTCTTTTCATAATAGCGACATATTGTTCTAAAATTTAAACAATCATAAGAAAACTAGTTCCACCATAAATATTTAGGGGAAAATTGGTCTAGGGTCCCTCTCCCACTTTTCATAATGGGAGAGATCCACAAAATTATTTTTTGATGTCTAAGGTCCCTAAACATATCACAGAGAAATTTGACCTTACCAAATCAAAACTCATCTCTCACTTTCTCTCTCTAAACTTCTCCATTCTCATACCTGTCCAGATCAACTCTTGTGTCCTCAGCTCTGACTTCATTCTCCAACCGATTGAACTCCACCTTCACCGGATCCGACCTTCAATGGCGTCGCCGAGCCGTCTGAGGAGCGGCGATCCAGAGGCGTTGATATTGGACACTGGTGGTGTTGTTGTTACATTGAATTTCTGTTTCAGTACTCAATCATCAACCCATTGGAGCAACCAAGAATCAGTTATTATCACTGTTTCAGAGAGAGAGAGAAAAGAGTTTGGTTAGTTTAATCCAATGGCTACTCGTTACTGTGGGAAGAAGAAATCTGAGTGTGTTTTCAAGTTTTTCAATCCCGGTGTGCTTTCTATTTTGATTTTTTTAAAAGTGTGCACACAAACTGATTCTTATATATACATCCAACCTAGAGAAAATTCAAATTTCTCTGGGTTGAATCCAGAGAAATTTGAGAAATTCTACTACTAAGAAGGTGGAGAATTTTTAAAAACAGAAAAAGAAAAAAAACCTATTTTAACCTCCTTCACTTGTGCATGTGTTTGGTCTCCGACTTCAGAATTTATCAACCATGAACCATTGCCTCCACTCTCACTCTCATTCACTGACATACCCACTAAATTGATTATGACAATACCAGAACAAATTCCATAAAAACAAGCACACAAGTGTGTTTATAAAATTAGAGAGAGGGAGAGAGAACAGAGTAGTAGAGAAATCCAGAGAAGTTCTGAATTTATCTCCAAAGAAATTTTGAATTTCTCTGGAACTGATATTGATGTTTTATGGCAGGATGGGAAAATACAAAGGCTCAAGGCTTGTATGATGATGCTGAATTTTCTCTGCGTTGAACCCAGAGAAATTTGAATTTTCTCTAGGTTGGATGTATATATAAGAATCAGTTTGTGTGCACACTTTTAAAAAAATCAAAATAGAAAGCACACCGGGATTGAAAAACCTGAAAACACACTCAGATTTCTTCTTCCCACAGTAACGAGCAGCCATTGGATTAAACTAACCAAACTCTTTTTCTCTCTCTCTCTGAAACAGTGATAATAGCTGATTCTTGGTTGCTCCAATGGGTTGATGATTGAGTACTGAAACATAAATTCAATGTAACAATAGACTATACATGAAAAATTGAATGAAATAGAGAAATGAGTATTAAATATTCACCTGATAGAGAGAGATTGATTTGGTTTTGGAGCTCAAATCAATGGTATGAATCAGAGAAAGCAGAGGACGACTTGTCGGAAACAAGAATGGGTGGATGGGCTCCAGAATACCCGACATTAGTTTACAAGAATGATTGAACACTTCATAGCCTGACAAATCTCCATCTATCTGTAAATCTTAGCTGCCAAACTATGGGTGAAGATGTGCCTTTGTGATCTATATACGTTGGGGCACAATGCAGTGTAGTTTGCAGATCTGCAGCAACAACAACACCACCAGTGTCCAATATCAACGCCTCTGGATCGCCGCTCCTCAGACGGCTCGGCGACGCCATTGAAGGTCGGATCCGGTGAAGGTGGAGTTCAATCGGTTGGAGAATGAAGTCAGAGCTGAGGACACAAGAGTTGATCTGGACAGGTATGAGAATGGAGAAGTTTAGAGAGAGAAAGTGAGAGATGAGTTTTGATTTGGTAAGGTCAAATTTCTCTGTGATATGTTTAGGGACCTTAGACATCAAAAAATAATTTTGTGGATCTCTCCCATTATGAAAAGTGGGAGAGGGACCCTAGACCAATTTCCCCAAAAAAAAATTATATCCTTCTAAACTATAAGGACTTAAATAATAAATTTTTTTAATACAATTTTTTTTCTTAACAAAAGACAAAAAGATTAAGAAAATTATGATTTTTATAACAATTGCCAAATATAATAGATTCTATTTATTTATTTAATCTCAATTGTCAATTAGACAAATTAAAATAAAAAAATAACATTTTTTTTATGTAAGACATATAATTAAATTATAAAATTTATAAACATTTAAAAAAAAAAAGAGAGAGAGAAAAAAGAGGGGGATTTTCATGATTGACTCAAGTTACCTATTCAACAACTTAAGAATTGAACTAATTTGAAATCTTTTATCCCGAAATAAAATTAAATTAACTTGATGCTAGACCCGAATCAACTCAATCCATAAAAGCTCAAGTTAGTATAATTGGCAGATTACTCGCTTATTTTGTGGATAATAGTTTGTGAAAACTCTAAATAACTTTAAAAAAAGAAGAAAAGCAAAAAAAAAAAAAAAAAAAAACCCAAAAAAAAAAAAAAAAAAAACCCTTAAATGAACTAATTTCTAACATATTAATACAAAGTTTCCAAAATCATATGTCATTAAATGAGGTATGGCCTCAACAGCAATTGCCTCAACCAACTGCACCTTTCAAGCAGTTATAACCATTTTAGTAATTTTCTTTACTTGAATTTGAGGTGAATTATGAATCAAAATAGACACTTGACACCAATCCTTTTTGATGCAGAAGTGACTCCAATGGTTTGAATAAGAGAGGGAAAATTAAATGTCAGAAGTTTATTTAAATTTAAATTATAAATTTATAAAAAAAAGTTGGAAATTTTTTTTAAGGTCCCTGGTATTAGGATTTTATAATATAAATGACACTCAATATTTTTATAATGTCTAAGGTCCCTTAACATCGATCCAGAGAATTTCTCTAGACATATCACAAAGAAAATTCTAAATTTCTTTAGACACATCACCGACACCAAATTTCTCTGGATACATCATAGAGAAAATTTTACACATCACCCACACCAAATTTCTCTGGACACATCACAGAGAAAATTTTACACATCACCAACACGAAATTTCTCAAACTAGAGAAAATTGAAATTTCTCTGAGTTCAAACAAGAGAATTTTTTTTCCTTTGCTTTTTCTTATTTCAACTTCTGTTTATTAACAATACTGTTGTTGTTAACCATTACTCCATATCCAGTTTATGCAACCATTTATGTATAAACTAATATTTCTACAAAACCTTTTGCAGTGACATTAAAATTAAACATTCAAAAAATACAGGACCAACCAACATTTCAATCCTTAGTGAGCATTTTGTGTTGTATGATTTTCCTACCTAGCTAGATCTGGATAAACTTGGCCGCCTTGATCTTGTACGTCTCTAAACATCGAAAGAAATAAGTTGAACCCTTCAGATGAAGCCCCGTCCAAGATCCACAGTAGCAAGTTACTAAACGAATTCATGGTCCCAGCTTTGTTCACAATTTTTTTTGGCTTTGTTCTTTTCTGTAGATGCATATTTTTGACCAGACAAATGTTGTGTTTTCTTGGCAGGATTGTCTTTCACTTTTGTGCATAACGATCGCTGCTCCTGCTTCGTCTATTGGATTGAATTTCTCTGGTTTGAACCAGAAAAATTTTCTGGTTTGAACTGAATTTTCTCTGGATTGGTCTAGAGAAATTCTCTTGTTTAGATTGAATTTTCTCTGATTTGTACTGAATTTTCTCTGGGTTGGTCTAGAGAAATTCTCTGGTTTGAACTGAATTTTCTCTTGTTTGATCCAAAGAAATTCTCTGGTTTGTATTGAGATTTCTCTGGATTGATTTGAGGGACCTTAGACATTCTCTCTTTGGCATTTCATCAAACACCTTCTTTGCTGAATCCATGTTCCTAGCTCCTGAATACATCTTTTTATGTGAATTTCTTCATTAAATGTTGTATGAAGATTTTAAGATTTAGTTTATTGAGATCAACAATAAAGTCAATGAAGGAAAAACAAGAAAAAAAAAGTAAGACAAGCAATAAAGAATATTTTCCAGTTGTGTTTATGGATATGTAACTGATGCATTTTGTTTCTGCTTTCATATATGCTATAATGCTTTATAAATCTTACTAGCGCTCTGCTTCTTGATATTTGTCCTCCAAGGGTAGTGATATTTGTCGATGGAGGAATCTTTATCGGAGGACTAGTGATCGGAGGAACAACAATAAGGACTAGTGCTCTGCTTCATATAAATCTTGCTGTACAAAGCACTATCAGGAATCTTCATATAAATTGATGATTTCCGTTAACAAAGCTTTATAAATCTTGCTAGTGTGAATTTCTTCATCGTAGTCAATGCCAATAAAGCTTTGAACAATGCTGTGGACGAAAATGTGTGTGTGTGTGTGTGTGTGTGTGCGTGTGTGTGTGTGAGAGAGAGAGAGAGAGTTCAATTACTACAAATACAGGATTTAGTACCTTTTATAGAAAAATATAAGAGTGTGTTATATATGGGTATGGGTAAGGGACCTTAGACTACAAAAAAATTTATTGTGGACCTCTCCCATTAATAAAAGTTGGAGAGGGATGTTAAACCAATTTTCCCAAAAAAGTTTATGATTTTGCCTTTTAATATTTGTAAAATTTATCACTAATTAAAAAAATATTTTTTAAATACCTACGAAAGAGAAATTGCCCCAATAAAAAAAGGAAAAAAAGAAAATATTACACTTCTCATAGTATTTTTGTTTTGGTTTAATTGGTGAAAGTTCATTTCTATGGGTCATATGTTATTTAGTCCAAGATATAATCTTTCTTGGTAAAAAGGATACACATTGAAAAATCATCAGAAAAGTCATTGTCAATGGTTGACAAAAGCGACTAGTGATGGTGAAATGGACAGATAAGTAACGCGTGTACATATAGGTTATATTTGAACAAATAGTTTGACATCTAATGACAAGTATACAAATAAGTGATATTTGAATAGATAGACATATAGATAAGATTTGAACAGATAGGTGTCTTCTTGGACAAATAATGTCTTTTTGGCTAAAAAAGATTTAAACTTGGGTTTATTAGATTAATAGTTTCAGAAATGGACATTTGACCTAACAGTACCTCCACCCGATACTTTAAATAGATGTGGTACTCTAACAGTCATATTTTGGCAAGTATCAATTCCACTCAGTGTTCCAAAAACTTACGTGAATTTGGTATTACCCCTTCATGCCAATTTTGACATAAAAACCCTTAATTTTTATTTTTTAATTTTCAAACAAAGAGTTCAAATTTTAAAAATAATATAATAATAGATTTGACATCTCAGGGTGGAGAGTTTTCATATCAAATTGATATATGTCAATTTGCCACTAAGCCTTCAAAAAAATTTGGCATATCAAAATTTGAAGGATTGAGTAGAGATGCTCTAAGTGATTTTTACTTTTTTTTAAGATTATTTTGGAAAGTTGGTTAAAAGTTGAATTTTTGAATTTTTTAAAAAAAAAATGTAAAAAAGTAGAGAGATGATGGCCTTGTTTGGTTTGGTTTTGGGAAATAAATTTTTGAAAAAAAAAAATTGGGGAAAGAAGAAAGAGTTTAGAATTTTTTTTGGTTTGTTTAGTTATATATTTTGGAAATTAATTGTGATAGAGACCCCCATACGTACATGACTCCTATAACCCCCACTCTCATCCCAGCCACTCATAATGCAGGGCCCACACATACATGAGTGGACCCCCCACACACATCAAGGGCTAAGATAAAATTTGGGGTCATGGAACCGCCAAAAAAGGGGGTCCCAAACATTTCTCTTTAGAAATAGTTTTGAAGTATGGGAGTTTGGGATGATTTGATATTTTGTTGTAGTTGAGTAGATGTGTGTGAGAAAAAAAGTGATTGAGAATGAGAAAGGAGTAAGAAAAAGTGATTAATTGATGTGTATGAGATAAAAAGTGATTTTGAAATTTTTTTTCCCAAAATATGTGTATTTATATTCCTGGATTTGTGCCACATAAGGGTATAATGAAGTTAGAAGAAGTGGGACGTCACCCAAGTCGTGTATAGGTTAGTCCACTAGCAGGGATTGCTTATAGGACACTTACACCTTATAAATCGTTGACAGACGTGCTTAGCCTAGCCCCCTTGTGAGCACTTAGTTGGTATCAGAGCCATATTTATACATTTACATAATACATGTATATGAAATTTAAATTATACATATATGGTCATAAACATCCAATGGTAGAAGACTCAACTATCACAATAGTAGACAGTACAGTAGCTTCTACGTCAGAAGCAGCAGAACTAGTTGCCTACCAGGACGTTAGGGAAGCCCTTGATAAGTGGACAATTTCAAAAGTGAAACCAGAAACTATTTATAAAATAGGAACCTTTGATTTTCCCAGTAAGAAAATCATTAAAACTTTTGAACATGAAGTCCTTTTACAGAATGATGATAAAGTAATTCAATTACTACAAATACAGGATTTAGTACCTTTTATAGAAAAATATAAATATGTCCACATAGGACTTGTCTAGATAGCTTTTAAACCCTTAACTCTGTTAGGACAAAATACCAGTCTTACTTGTACACTTAGGGATGGTAGATGCCTTAATTGGAAAGCTTCTTTGGTGGGAGCCATTGAAACCAGTTTATCTCATAGGCCAATATATTTCAATATTTATCCGAATTTAAGTATAGCACTCATAGACCTAACCTATCTAAAGTTCTTGAACTTAGAATTGACTAATGGTTACTAGTATTTACCAAGATCACTATCGTTATCAGCTATTTTCAGAATGCATCTTAAGGTTTTAAGTACTTTAAATCCTTATATCAGAAAATACAGTGAGTTGGGACAAACTGTCCTTATTGATACTAATCTTTTTAGTAGCCAGGTAGCTGTTCCTAAAATGATTCCTTGGAATAGTATTATTTTTCCAGAAAGATGGCAAGTTAAGAATGTTGTACTAG